GTAATTCAATTTAATATTGAAAGGAAATAATCATAAAAACGAAGAAAATATTATAGTATTTTTATCATCAGATATCTTAACTAAGGTTATCCCCTACTACATTTGTACTTCTGAATATCTTCTTGAACAAACAACTGCCTGAGCCACGCCAATTTTTGTCACTCGGATTTGTTATCGAAGATATCAAAGGAATGAAAAATTGCAGTGAATACAGCAACTATACGAAATTCAATTTTTATAGTTTTTGTTTAATTTTAATAAATGGCTTATTAAGTAAATATTTAATATATTGTTATTAAAGTGGCAAAATCCTCTTGATAAAAATGAGTCCAAGCACGATTTCAATCGAATTATTTTGAGTTACATAGTACAGTAAATTCTCCACAAGTGTCAGTCCGCAGGGTGTCACGCCAGACAGTGAACGTGTTAATAAGTAAATGTTGTTCAAATTATATTGTGTTTGATATCATTTTCATCAGAAAAATCTCACCAACATGTTTAAAAAAAATTTCAGATGAAAAAAAGTAAAATTAAAGGAATTATATTTTTCTATTATGAATTGTCGAGCCGTGAAATCTCGTAAAAGAAATCGAGTGGTGTAGCGTTACACGCTTGACTGACAGCAAGCGAGGATAACATAGGCGCAGCAATGACGCAGACCTAGGCGTAGAACCATCTATACTGACACTTGTAGAGAATTTACTGTAATGCATTCTATTGCTGCTCTTCCATTCTAACAATAAGACGAATTAAGGACAAGTATCTGCGGGCACAGTTTTTCAGATGAAACATGTATTTAGACGAAGTTAAAATTTTTCTTTATAAATCGTCAATAATATCTACGCTAAAATGTATGACCTTCATCTTCGAAAGAGGAGGTTCCAGAGACGATCAAGATACCCTCGATATTTTTCCCATCAGAGCTGCCACTAACCAATTTCCTTGAGGAAAGTAGTACAAATTACCAAGGAACACATTTTTTAATAACGCTCTACCTGCACAAATTCTACAGAAGGGAGAAACTCATTGTCCGCAAATTAGTCCGAAACCAAAGGGATAAATACAAAATTGTAAATAACTTGCTTTATAATATAAAACATAAATAATTATAAGTTTATCATTGTAATCATAAATGTACAACTCCTTTCTTTATCCTTAAATATTTTTGTTTACTGTAATACATTATTAAACATTTTTAATGTACACATTATCTCTATGCATAGTAGTTTATTAATGGAAACAATTTTTCTTAATATATTACTTAATTGCATAAAGTTGTTGCAAAAAGACTAAGTGTACAAATACCTTTTTAACTCACTGTACCCTCAACTAGTCTTCCATACCAATAGCCACAGTTCCTATATTCTAACTCACAATTCTATACTTCAATGAATCATTTTATGCAGTGTAAATTCTTAGTAAATATAATATATTAGCTACCTTCCTTAAATTTTTCATCAAATAAACTTTAACGCTATTAAAGTTGAAGGTATAGCCAATGTTTTCAAGAATGCTGCTATATATGTACTATGAAATCTAATTTCATATGCTATAACTATTGTAATAATTTTTACAGAATTGTAAATAAATTACACTTATTAGCATTTAAATAAATTGATCATATTTTTCAAACAATTTGTATTTATTAGATGTAGACTTGACATTATTTAAATAAATTTTTATCTTGCTCTTACAATTTGAATAACATTTTATTCAATATTTATATGAATCCTATTATTATAAACCTTTTACTTTAAGGTTAGGTATATGTTTCAAAAATATCAAATGAATACAATAAAATTTATTTACATTTAGCATAATTCATGGGAGTCGTCGATAATATATATATAGACAAATAATTTTTAATTAAGTTAAGTATTGTGCCCCATATTTTTCAGAGATAAAATAAAATCGTTTTGCAATTTTGAAATAATTTAACAAATATAGTAATATAAGCAATAATGATGGATGCACATTTCCCTGGAAGTTTTTTTTTAATCCTATGTAAATGATAATTATACCTTAAACAAATTCAATTTGTGTAATAGCAATTAAATGTATTCAGAAGAGGAAATGATCAAAAAACATAAATAAAAAGAGAATCTATTACAAACTAATAGTATAACATCTACTATAATGTTTTAAAATAATATATTCTATGCTAACACAAATAGATGAAATATATTAAGAAGAAATCTTTCTCTAAAAATAATAAAGTTAATATGTTTATTAATAATTAAAATTAAGTATTCCATTGAATTTAATTTAGGAACTTCTTAAAGAACTTTATATTGTTATTGAAAAATTTGTGTTCATATACTTTTTTTATATTATTTTGAATTGCTCTTTTCTATCAATAAATAACAACATAACAGCTGCTTCAAATACTCAAATATTATTCTAGAATTAAATGTTATTCTTGGAAGTGCTAAATTTTAATAGTAAATTGAATAAAAGTAATGTATACTGAACATATAGTTCCAGTTTTGTTCTTGTTCACTTTGTTCTACTAAACCAGGTAATGCAATATTACTAGGAAAAGGCAATATATTATTGAAGAGAATGTACACAGGTCTCAAATTTATGCTAATATTGAACAACATTTAATATATGAGTATTAACATTTTCTTTATAAAAGAATTTTCATCCCTAAACAAATGCATAGTTTTCTGAAATATTTCCCATGTACTAATATGCAAAAGAAAGCTTTATAAAATTATATCAAAATCCATACCTTAAATACAATACTTAAAATTACTCTCATATACTTACAGCTAGTTGATGTATTAATAATGCTTGGTAGATATAACTTTTGTTGAGTGAGATCTTGCACTAAAGCTTCTAAATTATATTCCTCTGAAGTGGCCAATGCTCTCACACCCCATGCCTA